TTATTTAAGGTCAAAGATTATTTGTTTCTAGTGGTCATTCAGTTTGGGTTGGAATTGCGATCTGAGTAATCACCAATAAAGGCCAGTTTCAAAAACCTGATCAGTTTCCCAGCCCTCTGAACGACTAGCTTACGAACAAGATGGATGGAAAATACGTTAAACGTTTGAACGCCTGATATAACAGAACAGAAAACGTCATCTTTAGTTTTATGAAAACATGATAAGTTTGCTTAAATTAATTTGCTCCGATGTTCATATTTGGTTCATGATTTTCGTGAGCGTGTGATGACACTTGTTATGCTAGTAAATCAATGATGTGCATTACTGTTTATAAACGAAAATGCAATTTGCAGGCACTTGAAATCAAAATGATGTTTGCGCCTGTTTTTCACTCTTGCATTTTGGATCCACGCTTGCTGTGTCACCGTGGTCATTGAGTCTATTTGCCTCAAGGCAGACATGTGAAACCTAACCACACAGGAATCTACGTTGTTGTCAAGGTCAGAAAAATATATCAGTTGTGGGGCTTTAGCTGTAAAGCATAATGCATGAATAACGTACCCTTTTGGACATTTGTAGTCACACGCGATGGCTTCTTTCCAGTCCTTTAATGTTCCCTTGCACTCCGGTGGCGGATCAGATCTTTTCTTGCGGTTTAGCCCTGAAATGAAAATGCATCGTAACATGAACGTGTGTGAATTACAGCAGTACAACGACTCGCTTGACAATCAATGCGCCAACTGTGCATTTTTCAACAGTTGTTTTAAAAAATCCACGGAGCTTATGAGACATGCAATTTTGACTTTCGCATGTCGCAAATCTATGAATTAATGTGAACATTTCTCAAATCCATGAAAATGTTATTACTGTTGCTATGGCTGTCAGGATCACTGGCTTAGTCAGCTTCAGTGACTCCCCAGATAGCTGCTACCCACTGCTGTCGATCACGTGCAGAGTTAAGACTGGCTTTTCTCAATCATTTCTGCTTGAACACAGTCTACATAAGGAGATTTTCGATTTTAGCTCTGGCAGGGTCCCATGGCAATGACGAATGCCAACCCAATTCCCGTCGATCGCGCCGTCCATGTGGCGATTTTGGCAAATTTTTTCGTCCAGATTTCTCACGTCTTAACCATCATTTTCCTCCTCCCCAGACACCGTCTGCTGCCTGTTCCTTGTTCGTAAACCGTCCAGTCAGTTGGATGCCGTTTTTGTCCGGAACTAGGAGCAAGCAAGTATCGATCTATGACTATTCAACGGTTACCGTTTTGGTGCCGATCGATAGTCATTGCTAATGTGCTGTCCTCTGGTGCGAGTTTGAATGTATATGAATGGACTGTGGTCATCTGGATTAACTGTAATATTCGATCCACCATGTCGCACATCCATTAGAGGATCTCCTTGAGTACAATGTCAAACACCTGTCAAACTAATAAATTTATAAGATTTCGAGTTGCATTTGATGGCTCCATTTTTCTACTTGCGATAACTCGTTAATTCAGCGCGCATCATGCGATCGGGAGTTTACTTTCCATCAGCAGAAAATTATATATTAATTAATTGTTCTCTCTGAGTACAGTACTAAACGTCTTACTGAGAGCACAACACGAATCCACCGTCAAATTTATGCATTTCTAATGTTTATCTTTCATTTTGTTCCCTTTTATAACTGCGCAAGGTCATTAATTCAAAGCGCAGTAATGAAGGGCTCTGCAAAATGCTGAAGGACCGCGAAATATGCTACAATCAACTTGCTGCCGGTCATCCTTCACCAGTAAAGCTGAAAAAAACATCAGGATGCTGA